AATCAGCTCGAACGAAACGTAATTAATAATGTAGCAGAAAAGGTCATTATTTATTTAGCAAGCAGCTTTTATACGGAGAGCCGGAGAGACCCGAAGAGATACGGACTTAGCCGAACGCGCCAGACTATTACTTTACACACTTCGTTAGTCGCGTCCATTAAACAACATGACGTTTTACAAAATCTCATTCCGAGGCTTCTCGTTTACGATACTTTTAAACTTGCGAAGTAAGTAGTAGTGAGAATTTTCACTATAAATTTAAATGTCTACTTAATTTCTTCGTGGTATTCGGGTATTTTAAAGCTGCTGGTTCTTGGTTACCTAGGCCAAAAATTGTCGAAGGTTAAATCACCTGCAACCAAAAATTCGGTCGAAAATTTTATTTCTTTTCCTTCCCGCGAGGACAACATCTTTGTATCTATAGAATTGGTTCGTATTTTAAATAAATTAGGTATATCTACTTGAAATTAAAACTTCAATATCAGTTAGGTGACTGGCACAGTTGACGTTAGGCTAAACTACGCAAAGAATTAAAAATAAATGAGCACACAAGCTCTTAGACTATCATCAACAGCCAATAAATGCCCTCTGCTGAGCAAAGCCTCTTCTCACACGGAGAAGGTTTGAGTATGAATCACCACGCTTGCTCAATACGGGTTGGCGATTTCAAACTTATAATTAGAAATTTTAAGTCCAGGTTTCCTCACGATGTTTTCCTTCACCGTTTGTCAGTGGTGTCTAAATAATCTTAGAAAGTGCATATAACTCGGAAAAGGTCACATTGGTACTTGCCGTTGGTAGATTTCGAACCTGCACCCTCATGCATGAGCAGCGGGCGTCTTAAACCTTCGGGCCACCACGACACTTAGACTATAATCATCATCAAGTACTTTTTTTATACACGAACCTAGAAATGACACAATGACATGAACACAACACAACTTAGAATACCATAAACCAACAACTAGAAGTATCTATTCATCTATACTTAATGGAACAATCAGCTGAAGAGCGACTTAAAATCTATAGTGGGAGCGACAGAAACCATTGTTAGCACAGTGGCGCCACCTAGTTCCATTATTGGAATTGTAACCGCCATTGTACAGAAAGTGGTCGTTCAGGGAGCTGTTAGGACAGATTATTAATTGACTGCTAAAATTTATAGGAGAAAATTATCCACACTTTAAATATTGGTTGGATTAAGTCCCGAAGGGTAGAGTTATATTAATATTTTATAGTTAATCTGTAATGGGATAGGATAAACTAGTGTTTTGGGAGTAAATAGAAAGAGCTATAAAGTTTGGAATAATGTTGAATAAATAATTAATTTCATAATTAATTATTTCATAACTATAAAATAGACTGCCTGGTTGGCCGAGTAGTCGCAAATGCGACTGCCGGGCAAAGGGTCTCGAATTCGATTCTCGGGTCAGGCAAAGTAGTACTGAGTTTTTTTTAAAACATTCTCAATATTAGCACGGACTCTAGAATTGTGTCCGGTATACGGCAAAGGGACTCACCCCATATTACATGGGTCTCATAACATAAATAGAAAAAATGTGGGTGTTACATTGTACAGTGGCATTAAATGTCGTAATGTGCACCTCTGTCTACCCCGTCTGGGTAAAAAACGTGAAGTTATTCGTCTCTTACTTACCTATAATTAATTCACTTCGGTAAAAAATATCTTCCAAGCAATCGACTCAGCATTCATTATCTTGTGTAATGAAAGAAATATTCTTCGTTTTGTCTGAACAAGTTTTGTATTATTGTCATTCGATTTTACTACGAACTCACCTCTACTTAGGTTTTAAAATCAAGTACTTCTTAAAATTAATTTACTGCATACAAATTCCTAGCAAAATACGTGAACAAAGTAGTAATATGGTATTCATGGAAGATTAACCTATAATTGGCGACTGTGTAAGCCTAAATACTTAATGTTACTTTCATATCACTTAATGCTATGTATACAGAAGCTGTCGGTATACCTATTTAAATAAATAAATAAAGATTAAAGTAATTTATTTTGGTTTATAAACATACTTACCAACTAGTCAAATTCAATTCTTTTTTCGAACTGTCAAAAACGACAGTTTCCTATGAATTTTGTACGAGATTGTGTATTGTGACGTCAAGTTTTTAAGCGTCAAACACCATACTTATTGCTTAAAAAAATGCTTTATAATTATTAAAATTAAATTGGTCATACAACCAATTAATGAACATGTGATTATTTTTAAATGTTTTATTGTATCATACCGCGAAAACCAACGCAATGTTGCTATTGACACTAACTTTGTTACAATTATGACATTTTATAACACCGGGTACCATTTTATACTCCATTCTAATCTGATCCAGTACTCCTTCAACTTCTTCAACGATCGAACCATACTATAAAATTGAGCAATAAAATATATTTCAATATCCCTTCATAATAGATCTAAGAAAAAAATATCGCAAGATATTATTGCTTTTGACAGCTATTTAAATGCGTCATTATAGTTTTTATTCGAACAAAACATTATCAATAGGTACTCTCGTTCACTACGACAAGCTGCCATCTGCATGGTGTTGGAATGACAAATGACGTCAAATAACAGGACCTAGATAATGCCAGTATAAACTGAATCGCAGTATAAAAGATCTGAGTTGCAGTGAGAGATCTGTTTATACTGGAAGTTAGAAGTTCTAATGATGGCCTGATAGTCATAATATTTGTCTATTCAAAAATCATATATTTAATAGCGTCACTGTAAACTGCACTGCATAAAAAGAGATTAGAAAAAATTACAAGATTTAAGACATTTTTGCATGTGTAAATATTTCAAAACCTATTTAATCCAAACAAACAAAATGCAAATTAAAAACAACAGCTTAAAAACTAAAACTAAAGTAATTCGATTTTCAAATTTAAATTCATATCAGATTACTTTTAAACGATGCATTTTTGATTGCAATGTGAAACCCTCGCCATTCGATTTACAAAAAATAAATAAACGATTTTGCGATGACAGTCTATGGAGCACAGATTATAACATGTCAATATTTAACACAAATTGACGCTGCCTATTAGTCGATTATTTGAATCGATTCAATATTTTTGCGATTTTTGGGAAGATTAATGATTTTCGGGAAAAGTCCCTTTCCATGTCGTAGGTAATCGACTGATTGTTCCTTTTTTTCTGGTTTCTTCTCAAATATGCTGTATATGAGTTTATTGTCAAATACTTAACAGTGGAAATAAGCCAACGATTTTTGCCCGATCTGAGGATGAAACTTGAGCTCATGTTGAAGTCTGCTAATTATACAATTTAAACATTTAAATACCGCGTTCTAACAAAATAAAAACGAAGAATTTTCTTTTATTCACATTGTTTTGTTTTACGTTGTTAATCTTATTATACTTTATTAAGGACTGGTTGTCAGTCGGAAAACTGAAACAAAAACAGTATTTCTTTGGAAAGAAAACCTGTAATTACGTCTTGTACGTAACTCGCTGGCGGGCATAATAGGCTACGTTGTTTATTCCGTAGAAAATAACTCAATTCTTTATGATTAAGTTTATTATTTATAGAAACTGTATCGTGTATTATGACTTATATGGAATTAGATTGTCGATCGAAGTACGAGGTCAGGGTAAGTTTTAAGATGACCTCAATAAAAAAATATGGTACTTATTGCTATTGTATTAGTAATGACATTTTCAAAATTTTAACGTTGGCTTCATACTGTGTAATTTTTGAGGTACATTATCTTCTGTGTAGTTTTGCTCTTGGCAGTAATTGTTGTCCTCATTCAGAATACCATACGAATACACTGCGAAAACTGTGCATCACCGCTCATACACTTAAAGTATCTCTTTTTAATCTATATATATAAAATTCAAAGGTGATTGACTGACTGACATAGTGATCTATCAACGCACAGCCCAAACCGCTGGACAGATTGGGCTAAAATTAAGGGATAAACCGGTAAACGAGCCGACCGATCACTTGATGGTACGCAATCGGCGTCGCTCATGGACACCTGGAACACCAGAGGCGTTACAAGTGCGTTCGGTGTTTATCGGTCTTATGGGAATTAGGAACAGGATTGTTGGGGATTCAGGGATTGAGGGATTGGGGAGATGGGGAGGAGGTAGTTGGGCCTCCGGTAACCTCATTCACATGACGAAACAAAGCAAGCTTTGTTTCACGTCGGTTTTCTGTGAGGCCGTGGGATCACTCCAGTCGAGCCGGCCCATTCGTGTCGAAGCATAGCTCTCCCACACTTAGAAAGATCTCAAACAGCCGACAACAATTATGAAAATTAATTTTTAATAGATATTATTATCATCTCGCTCAATTTCCAGCAACCAAATGTTTTTAACAGCCCAATTTAGTCGATTTAGTACCAAATTCAAACTATTTTACTGAACAGCTGATGAAGACGTAAATGTAGGCTAATCACTTAACTTTTCCCGAAGAATTTCCTTTGAGAGAGATTTTGAAATGTCATGGTAGACCATTAGAAGTAGATTTAACGAGCTAACAACAATTGGCGACTCGTTTCGTTGATGGGTTAATCACCTGAGAATTAACACCAAAAACGTGATTTTTATGTTGATGATAATGACTATTGAGTGCGGTTTTAGATCTTATGGTGTCTGTTATAGGGTCAATAATAGTTTAGACATGTTGATAATCAAGCTCTTTGGGTTCCATTATGATTTTACCTCTGAAATTATTTGCTATACGATTGGTTATCTATAGTCTATAAAGTTGGCAACCTCTTCATATCCGAAGATCGTAGAAATAGAAGACCTTAGAAGTCGCACTACTATTAATACAATTATTTATCATTACAGTTGTTAAAAGATAATATTGTTATATATCATAAAAAGTTGTATTAACGAGTCATATCTTTAAGATAACTTACCGATTAGTAACAAAATAACCTTAATATCAAAATCCAGCTTCAATAACAAAATGTTTTATACCATCTTTTCCTTCTAGGTGTCCTGGGTACGTCGCAGAGGCAAGGATGAGATGCCAGAACTGCTGACTGTAGGAGCAGTGACGTACGCTGCTGACAATCGAGTGACAGTTGCCAGAAGGTACCCTGGCAACTGGAGACTGCTCATCAGGGAGGTGAAACCTGATGACGAAGGAGTATACGAGTGCCAGATATCTACTCATCCGCCTAGAGTTAGCAGGACTTATTTGCATATTAATAGTAAGTGATGTTTTTATTTCCATCGCTTTGAGTAATTTTAAGAATCAGTTACATTCTTCTTTGGGTCCTAAGAAGTCCTTTGGGAGAAACGTTATTTCATTAGGCGTTTGAATTGCAAACATATTTTTTTTGCGTAAGCCGGTAAACGGACGGATCACCTGATGGTAAGCAATCGGTGTCGCCCATGGACACTTGGAACACTAAGGATTTACACGTGCGTTACCGGCCTTTTGGGAATTGGGAATTTGAAGATTGTGGAGGATTCAAGTATTGGGGAGACTGGTGAGGGGGGTAATTGAGCGCCCGGTAACCTCACTCCCGCAACGTAACACAACGCAAGCGTTGTTTCACGTCGGTTTTCTGTGAGGCCGTGGTATCACTCCGGTCGAGCCGGCCCATTCTAGTCGAAGGATAACAGTTGGAATTGTTGCCTAACGGAATGAGCTTACCTTCAGTAACAATGATAGTAAAACGCTATCACTCACGTGTATGCCTAACTGAAATCATGTGAAAAAAGCGCGTCATATACTTCATAACATGTAACAGAAAACAAGCCTACAGCTAGGCGTTCCGCGCGTCTCTCAAATACCCATCAGACCATCACGGATACTGAGTCACAGAGAGCGTAAATGGTTACCGGAGTTACAGCTAGAAATGCAGGAGTAGGAATGGTTTTTAGTTAGTAAGAGTCTGACATTCTGACATTCCTTCCCGCCTCAGCCAGGTGAGAGAAATAATTCGATGATTTTCCCTTCTTAAAAAAAAATAAGAAAACAGCTGCGCACCTGATATTACACTCAATGCTATTCCTAAAAACCTTGAAGTCAAAATTTCTTCGCCCACTTCAAGGATCATACTCAGTACCTCTTGCTAACCAGTCACGTTTAACTATTACTTATTCCAGGCCTTGTACTTATAATAAAACCCTTCTTAGCCTAAATGAAACTAACAAAATGTATAAGAAAACGTCTAGAGCTCAAGTATTATACCTATTCCGCTGCTATCCTTAACTAAAACAGAATGTAACATTTATTTGCCTTTCTAAGTAAAGCCGATTAACTAGGAGAAGTTACTATTATGTTTATAGCTTAGAGAGAGTGTAACATACATATTAATGGAGTACGATTATTGTTATTTAAACTACACAGCGCTCTATTCATGAATTCGAACACGTGGGATTCGTTATCTGCAAAAACATGAGTCTGCTTTTGAAGTTGATGGCAATTATAATATTAAATTATGCTCTAGTATTTGTAGTTAATCTGACTAAAAACATACATACAGATCTAGTCCTTTACTTTAAATACAAATATATGATTAAAACGCATCAATTGAGTACTTGCCAACTAGTCAAATTAAATACTTTTTTCGAACTATCAAAAATGACAGTTTTCTATGAATTCTGTATAAGATTGTGTATTGTGACGTCACAGTTTTTTAGCATACTTATTTCTTAAAGATTTGCTGAAAAGATACTAAAATTAAGTTAGTCTTAAAATCGATTAATGACATTGTGATTATTTTTTAATATTTTATTGTATTGAACAGTTGAAATAATTTATTTTTGATTTAGTAAAGTACCCAATTGCTATTTTGATATGGTTTATTGATCAAGAAACTCATGTCGGATTTTGAAAAGTATCTGCAACCAATTTAAATGAAGATAAATAATTTGACCTCGTTCTTAACCAGGTTGTAGGTCAGACACCTTTCACTGGCTATTAGGATAAGCCTCCAGAGTCTTTTCTCTGGAGAATGAAACTATAAGGTGTTTAAATTATACCTTACTGCAATCAGTATAAAGTAGAGAATCCTAAACTGTAATAAATTATACACACAATCCTAGAAAGGCTGCAAACGAAAAGGAATAGGAAGAATTCAGCTACTGAGTACTTAGGTGACTTGACAAGCGATAAACGACCTTTATGTTATTTCCTTAGAATCCGTCCTTATTATTCTTTGAGGTGATAATAGGTTTCTGACACCCTTTAGGTACCTACTTATCCTTTCGATGAATTGTAACTAAAGATGTGATGTATGTACTAATAGCTTCGCACATACGAAGTAAATTTTGTATCGAAAACTAAGGTGTTTATAATTATACTAACTTCTGCCCGCGACTACGTACGCGCAATCTCGAAAAACAATTAGGGGCGGACTACCCCTAAAATTTAGACGGATGAAAAATAGATAATGGCCGATTCTCATAGATACCGGATAAGCACAAAAAAATTCATCAATATCGGTCAAGCCATTTCAGAGGAATATGGCAACGAAGACTGTGACACGAGAATATTATATATTAGATTTTTGTTTAACTCTAAAAATTACAAACAGCTAATCATGCTGAACTAAATTCCTTAATAACACTATCTGAAATCGTCTAATCGACTTGAGAAATTCTTAAACGAAGTTTAAAATAACCCAGAACCCATTTTAGTAGACAAAGTTGCTTTTATGATCCATTTTGGCAATCTGATGGCACAGCTGACGCTGAAACTGAGCGATTGATACTACGTGTTAGAGAATATATCCAACGATTTATTTGTATTAAGCCCCAAAACTTGGGGTATCATTTAGCAAAAAGCCTTCACGATCAGTCTACCTATTTAAAATTCCAGTCAGCTTTAATCTCAAGAGCTGAACATAAATATAACATAGAATGGCAATTATAAAGCCTATCACGTGCTTTCCTCCCTCCGTCATTTATATGACATACTCATAAATAATGCACGCTGTAAGGCCCCCAGACAGTCTTTTTACCGGAATAGGACCGTATCCGACCTAAAGGTCAACTATGACCCTTTTTAAGGGCCATTTGGGAAATGCAAAATCTCATGGATGCTGCAAGATTGTTTGGCTTGATCGGACAGTTTAGATAGACCGGTTTTAGGGATAGGCAGCGATCGTTTTCAATGGATTTTTTTCGTCAGCCTTTTAAATTGTAGTGACAATCGTACGACCGGGATCTTTCCCATGATCATGTTGCTACTTCTACGTTTCTAATATTTTCTTAGTAAGTTTTGTAATTTGTATAAGTAATGCGTCAAGCGTGTCTTTGCATTGTTTTCACATATGCGTACAGTATTGAAATATGTATCAGAGACATTGTAGAACATACTTTTTTTAAAAAGAGTAACGAATGGAGTTTCTTACTCGTTCTTCTCCATTCGAATTTTCAACATTATGGAACAAGCACCTAGCTTCACCTAGCTTCACTGACAGACTGACTGACAGACCTTATTTATTTTGTATCTGTTGACGTTTAAAGGTACCAAATTGTTATTTAATTGAAATAAATTACGAATTACGAATATTGTAATAAACGGTAAAATTTGGAACTAGTGAATAGTGAGTTTAAAGTTATCTAATACGTCTGTGAAAATATTTTACTAATTATGGTAATGTATTAACCTCGGCTTCAAGTCTCACACAAATAATAAATAACTATTTAACGTCAGTCAGCCTCTTTATTCCGGATCTAGCCACAACAAGTGGATATGGCCCGATCCCTTTGGGGAACAATTTGTGATTAATACTCCACTAAATAACAACTAAATTCAGATCACACTGTACATAGGTACTTACTTAAAAACGTTAACATACAATTTAATGTTCTAAGCCAATTTCAATGAGATCTTATATCCGCACATTCAGTTAGAGCCACCATTACACCGCCTCAAGCATTAACTTTGATGTTTCTCAGAAACAGAATCACGCATTAACAAGAGTACCTTCAAACGAATTAAGTTCTATGCTTTTACTGAATGTAAACCTGTAATGTTCTTCCTGATAATGTTATCTTTTGGGTCAACCACATATGCTGTTGTAAGCAAGTTTACTTTAACTTCACGCTTTTTATCCCCGAAGGGGTAGAATCTTTCGATGTTTGTTATCGTTTTCTAATCGAATACGTACTAACTAGGTTCTGTTATTCCAAAATTTCACGTCTTTATACAACAAGGTTTTTTTGTAGAAATAAAGCCATTTTGGAGTAATAGACACTTATTGAAATATTGCTATGTATTGTCAATTTTGACTGGAGCTTAGAACAATACCTGGGCCTTTAGCCAAACGCCACTTTAGCGCTTGTCTACAGAGAGAGTAGAAAACTAAATATATGGGAATGACACTGACAAGTGTCAAAATTTACGTCAATTCCATATAATTTGGTTTTCTATTCTACATGTAGACAACCGCTAAATGGCAATGGCTACAGCTTCTGGGTAGACTGATGTCGTCGTTGCGACAGTTTGATTCAGAAATGCAACTGCGCATCATGGCGGTGATTATATTTCATTTCCGTACCATAGTGGTTTGTTCTGGCAGTAGTATAAAATTACCAGAAAAAAAAACATCCAAAAGGAAGGAACTAATATAAACTATATATCTACGTAGAACTATTATACACAGCCTTATTGCTTCAAGAAAAACAAGGTTCATGTTATTATCTATCGATTTAGGCCTCTCTTCTTTCTATTTTCATAAAAATCTAGGCATTTGTAGTCAGTTCAGGTGAAATGGGACAAACGGTAGATTTCTATGCGGGTTCTAGAAGAGCCGATAGGTTTTATAGCTGTGTTATTGGATGGAAAACAAACAAGTGGTGTAATCTTAGAGTGGATATGCTGTTTAAATGGTCTTAATGTAATTATACCAATATGGTGAGGAGATTAAGGAATGGCGATGATGAGGTAAATTGGATCTTATTTAAAAGGCGGATTTTGTTCATTACGCTGAGGTTGATGAATTGAATTTTAGACAGAATATGTAGATAGAATATTGAAGACAGTTCAATTAAGAAACGATAATTGACTGCACGGTTGGTGCGGTGGCTGGGCAACCGGCTGCCGTGCAACGTGTCGCGGGTTCGATTCCCGCACGGAACAACACTTTGTGTAATCCACAAATTGTTGTTTCGGGTCTGGGTGTCATTGTGTATGTGAACTTGTATGTTTGTAAACGCACCCGCGACACAGAACAAAATCCTAATGTGGGGCAATGTTTTAAAAAAAAATTGTTTGAGATGAAATTTTATGATTTTATTCAAGGTCGTATTTAGCTCAAAGTCGGAACAGTATAAAATTATGGTGATTAAGAATTAAACTTCTATGTACCTATCACAATAAAATAACCTAATAATATATGAACTTCTACAAACTAATTTGCTATTTTTAAAAGGGTATGACTTGGGTGACGAAATATGACTTGGGTGTCTTCAAGTCCCGAGTGAACAGGTTGCTCATAGGAAGACGTGCTCTATCGTTGGCCACATCATCGCTTACCATCAGGCGAGATGGTGGTCAAACATCAACCTATAAAGTGTAAAAAAGAGGGTAAGGGTCAAGCAATAATTGATGCGCAATATAATAAAAACTTTGAACTTTAACACCTCTCCAACTACATTTAATGTATTCAAATACTTGAATAATGTGATTAGTGAAATTATAAATCATTTTTACGAGATCTGTCTCGGAAAGGTTACGGTCCAGAGGCGAACTTATTTGCATAAAGAAGTATTAAAATTTTCATTTAGAACATATTTTTTCGACAGTTATTAATGGTTCCGTTGATATAAGTGAACTTGAATTAATGGTTTTTCGAAATGTAGTTTTTCTTTGTGTATTTTTATTATAGTTTTTTGCCTTTTTTTATTTGTTTCTTGTCCTATATGTTTTACCCTGTGATAAATGTTGTTATGTGTGTAGAGGTATAAGTGTGGGAGAGCTATGCTTCGGCACGAATGGGCCGGCTCGACCGTAATGATACCACGACCTCACAGAAGCACGCTTGCGTTGTGTTTCGTCGTGTGAGTGAGGTCACCGGATGCCCAATTACCCCCCCCCCCCTCCCCAATTCCCGAATCCCCAACCATCCTCAAACTCCAAAAGGCCAGTAACGCACTTGTAACGCCTTGGGTGTTCCAGGTGTCCATGGGTGGCGCCGATTGCTTACCATCAGGTGATCCATCCGCTCGTTTACCGGCTTATGCCATAAAAAAATGTTAACACAGCTTCATGAAAAATTGCGTTTTCATGAATTGATTGTTTTTCAGTTTCATGCATATACTAGACAAATTATAAATGTTTTTACTTGCTTACAAATATGTTTTTTTTTCTATTTTTTGATATAATATAGGTTGGCGTTTGGCCAATATCTCGCCTAGTGGGATCTAATACCACTAGGCGAGATAGGGAGTGGGAAAAAATACTTTCTCACATGTTTTACTGAAAAACCTAAATGCCTCAAACGTTTCCCAATATTTCCATCAAAAAACAAAGATAAAGAGTTACTACCGAAACCCAATTCTTATCGACACTCAACAGCCAAAAAAATAGACAAAAAGATAAAATAATAGTAAATTTTGGTTTGGCGCGAAAAAATGGTTTCAAGATATAGGTAGATCGGATTGATCGCTTCTATCTATTATTTGGACCTAAAAATCTAGGGACCCTTTTCCAAAGCGTCTTTTCTCCTTTTAGCTCAACATCCGAGATATTATCTCGACCTTGGGATATGCGAAGGTTTCCGAAAGATCCTGGCCATTATCAATATTTCGGCATTATTAATGTCTACGCCTATTTGAGATGGATATTCCGTGAATGTTTCTGTCAGCAGTAGAATACGTAATTGCTGAAAATTTTTAAATATTAAAGTATTGAATATAAAATGAGTGTTATTTGACTGCTTTGTTCGTTACAGCAGTATTTGAGGACTATCATATTATTCGCACAAAACCATTAATCATTTATTTAACTCGTCGAGTACCGGTTTTATAGACACAATTAAAGAACAATAGGTCGCGGTCACCGGTGACCGCTTGGTGTTTGACAGTTTAAAAGACATAATCACTAAACCAACCAACGTACACGTAGCGAGCTTTAACCATTCCCTAATTACACAGAATCTGTTTCAATCACGTTCTCGGTATCGTTATTAATCAGAATCCTTTGATAAGGCGTAAGTAATTTATAAGTACGCTTGCCAGCATATCAAGTCAATCACACCAGCATAACCTGGCCTCTCGTAGCATATAAAATCTACATAGTGCAAGACCAAGTTATGTTGGATATTATAGGTTTAGAAGCGGTTGGTTATGAGTAATATCACAGAGAAGAGAATACTTAGTTTCTATCAATGGCTACACAAAGTTATAATGAGTTCTCTAAGTTAGTTGCGAGTCGCGTGCGTATTAAGGCAGTTGAAGGTGTTATGAATTGGATTTGTATTGTAATACTTTTTGTGGTATATTTATAGTGGTTAGATTAGTGATACCTGTGGTTATAAAACCCCTTTTATATCCCAAAGGGGTTGTTAGAGGCTTATTAATAGTTTACCCTACTTTGTGACAGTATTTTATAAGTATTACCGTATGCGTACCTAATTGTGTAATGTTTATAGTTCCCCTATGATAATGGTACTCATGACAATGGCACAAAGGTTTACGATCCAGGTTTACGATTAAAAATAGAATTGGCTCTTTTTGCTTGTGGTGATTATGATCATCGTCTGTTTATTTTCGTTCACTGCTTGAAAAAGGCCTTTTCATCGATATTAAGACGTTGTCCATGGCCCTCTCTAATAGCACATCACTGAGCTTAACCTTCAGTCTCCCTCTCTGTCTGTATTATAATAATAATAATAATAAAGGTTTTTATTCGGACAACAAATAATCCACTTTTGTTAGTAACTTACATGCTAAACTTAAACACTAGGATTAGTAATAATTACAATTATATTTGGCAACTTTAAAATTAATGCGTCATGTACTTACGAGGCTCCTCAGAAGGACAATGATTCCTCATGAGATGCCTCAGTACAGGAGCTCTCGGGTCCTCGGCAATGACTTTCAGGATGCTGTTGTCACTCCCCCGGATCCTTCTCACAAGCGATGCCACCTTTTTTCTGATGATCGCATGAAAACTATCTGTATGCGATTGAGCAAACATCCCCGAGGCACTACAGAAACGTGAAATTATATCCTATATTAAGTATTTTCTGCCACCTTTTTCCTAATACCTTTATTTTTATTCCTAGCACCACAAGTGTGGGTAGTAGACGAGGCTGGTGCCCCACTACTGGAGAAGTACTACGAGGCTGAATCGACCCTGGCGTTGCTGTGCAGAGCTAGACACGTGGAGACTCCTGCCTTGCTGACGTGGCTGCATGAGGGTAGAGCTCTGAACGCTGATACCACTCGAGGAGGAATCAGGTGAGAGATTAAAAAGATATGATAAACAAGGGTGGCCGATCAAAATTAACTTATAATAATAGGAAGACGACGATGACGTAGCAGAGGTCTGATGTGACGATGATATAACAAGTGATATAAATTATTGTCTATTCAATGCAAACCTCTTTCTTTTTGGGAACTCGGTTAAAAAGAACCAATTGCTCTGGCCTTTGCAAACATTGTAGTAGAAGTTGTCTTCAGCATGATTAAAATAATTTCGAATATCATAGCAATTGCAATAAACCAAACTATATATTGCATGACTGTCTTTCCGTTCGATGAAAAAATATGACACTTAAGTTCCATTGCAACGTTTTTCTATTAAAAAGCTGTTCAACATAACAAGACTGAACTGAAAATCCAAAACATGTTCTAGATTATCTATATGTAGTCTCTACTACCATCCAAAATACTTCAAATTTCCACAGCCGTGAAACTATCTAATACACACCTACTCGATACCACTCTGATAGCATGATCAAATAGTTTGCACTTTACCTGCAACTTGGATTTTCCGATCATGTTCGTCAAAGCGTACTTTTGTCAGCGAATTTTCGAGATCTTTAGCCCGCATACAGATTTAATGAGATTTCGACCATTTCAGAAATTTCAGTAATGTATTTTAGTGAAGAAAATTCGGTTAGTATATGTGCAGATTAATAATTCTGCTACGTGGTTCTTATCGCAGTTGAATTTGTGTTGAAATTAAATTACAGTGAAATAGTTTTAAAGGTCGTTCACCTTTATATTGTTTGTAGACGAATTTGCAACATTCTGTTGGCGGGCAAAGAATTATTGAATTCTTTTTAAATTGCAATTGAAAATTGGGATGATTCTAAAAAAAGGCGTAGTCAAAAAAAACCTATGGTAAATAATTATTGTCGTATGCCGAATTATATGACTATCAATTGCATTTTTTACCTTGGCCCACGCGATGATATGTGGTCACCGTGGCCTATTTGAATGCATTCTACTATAAGCACGTACCATACCGTTTTATGAGTTACTAGCAGCCTGTCCCGGCTTCGCACGCATTCATTTTTCTACACCTTCGGTTACATTGTTCAAATTTCACCTAGGATCCTAATTTTGTTTCAAAATGATATGTAGCCTATGTCAAATTGGAAGAATGTAGCAGTAAATCGGCCCAGTACTTTTTGAGCCTATTGATTACAAACATACTAACATACAAAAATAGGTACAAATCTTTCCTCTTTATAATATTACTATAGACATATGTTTGCCAAGAGACACTTTAATACTCCTAATTTAAAATATACTCAACTATAATATAAACACAATTTTCAGTAATATTCACAAATTTCAGGCTACTATAATGTAATTTTCAGTCGGTATAGTTTATATTTCAGCGACAGATAAGGGGTCAAATAAACAAAAGCAATTTTCGAACTAAGTGCCGACCAACAAGAGGCACTGAACTTCAGTGGAATACGACACCAAATTACAGAAATTTGTATAACTGAAAGGCCTTGTTTTACATTATTATTTACTGGTGTTTCAGCTGTGACCACGATTTTCAGTTGTGAATTTTTGGATCGTTGTTTTGTCTTGGCAATAGTAAGGAATATGATTTCATGACTATTTATAAAGAGTGGCGAGCAAGGGGTCTCGGTTTCGATTCCCGGATCGGACAGAGTACTACTGGGTTTTAAAAAAAATCTCAGTAGTAGCACGGAGTCTGGAATTGTGCCCGGTATATGGCAATAGCCCCTATTATATGGGACTCATAACATAAATAGTGAAAAGTGGGTGTCACATTGAACAGTAGCATAATATACACCTCTGCCTACCCCTTCAGGAATAAAAGGCGTGATGTTATGTTATAAAGGGTGGATACTCAAATTGAATGTATGGCTGGATTTCTTAAGTAATTAGTATTAGTAATGATAAATTAACGTGATCTCAAAAATAGATATACAACTATCTACCTCTACTCCTCTTTTAAAGAGATAAGCCGGTAAACGAGCAGACGGATCACCTGGTGGTAAGCAATAGGCGTTGCTCATGGACACCTGGAACGCTAGAGACGTCACAAGTGCGTTACCCGTCTTTTGGGAATTAGAAATTTGAGAATTGTTTGGGATTCAGGGACTGGGGAGATTGGGGAAGGGGGAAGTGTGATTGGGCCTCCGATAACCTCACTAACGCGACGAAACATACCGTAAGTATTGCTTCACGTCGGTTTTCTGTGAGGACGTGGTATCATTCCGGTCGAGGCAGCCCATTAGTTCTGAAGCATTGTTTTACCACACTTAAATCATCGTATAATCTTCTTCATAATTGTCTATCATGGTTTTGATACTGACCATTCTTCTTCACATCCAATCCATTGTTACGACGAACGACCTGCCTAATGAAAAGAATTGTCACTGTCCACAATGTTGTGGATTTTAAGTGCATATATTAGAAGTAAATAAATAAATCTTCAACGCCTCATATTTAGCAGCTATATTGACACGAACGATTTTGGTCCTCTAGCTCCAAACGCAATCAAGAAAAGCCAATATGAAAACAAAATAAACATATAGGTATTTATTTATTTAAACTTTAATAGTATACCTCCATTATAAGTTTAAATAAACAAAAGAACCCAAAACTATTTTAATTATTAACCACGTCAACCTTTACTTGAAAGTTTATTTACATAAAATATTCAGAGGGCCTAGTACGAGCATTATTTTACGTTAACGCTATCGAAACGTTCGTGTTTCGTCCTCTGATTGGTTATTTAACTTAGAATAGCCAATCAGAGAGCTGAACGCATTAACGTTTCGATCGAATAAAAGTATAACATGTAATTAAATTAAGAACTTTTTATTGACATGTTTTTATGCAGTTATGGTCATACAAACTAAACGTGTATACAACATTTCAGTTCTATCGGTTTAAAATAAATTAAAGATTTCGTTGCAAGATTCCACTTCACAATTATACACACACATACATACATTTTTTTGTTGTTCTGCTTCTATGGCAATCTGTTATCCTTACTTATATTATAAATCGGAAAGTGAGTTTGTATGTTTGTTTGTTTGTTCCACTTTAACACCGTAACTACTAAACCGATTGCATTGAATTTTTGCAGATGTATAGTTAGAAGTCCGGAATAAATAATAGGGTACTTTTTATCCCGGAAGAATTTGATATTCCCGAGGAAAAACAAAAGTATTGGTATAGATGGCGCTGTGTGTATTGGTATATGTCACATTGGCTTTTTATCCTTTTGTGACGCGAGCGAAGCCGCGGGTAAAAGCTAGTTCAACAATAAGTATTTAAAGAGTCCAGCTCTATCTGGTTACTCTGAGCAGGCAAATCTCTCAGGGAGATTAGCAACACCTTGTCTCTTAAGTCTATTATACTTAATGCTGCCGTCACCACCAAGGTTTAGGGCCATCTCATTATACATTGCAAATTAAATCATCATTATCATCATCATTAACAACAGCTTATAAATGCCCACTGCTGAGCAAAGCCTCTTCTCACACGGAGAAGGTTAGAGCACTAATCACCACACTTGCTCAATACGGGTTGGCGATTTTAAACTTATAATTAGAAATTATAAGCCCATGTTTCAGTGGTGTCCAGATAATCTTAGAAAGTACCTACCTACATATAACTCGGAAAAACTCACATTGGTACTTGCCGTTGGTAGGTTTCGAACCTGCACCCTCGTGAATGAGAAGCAGGCGCCTTCAACCGCCGGGCCATCACGACAAGACAAATTAAAGAGCTTGCTTGCTTGCAAGCTTGTAAAAAAACTTCACTAGGCCTTCAGATCTATATACGGGTTAATAATTGTATATTTTATATTCTATCGTTACGATGTAGTGGCGAGAAAAAGGGGTACGGGGCAGGATTGCTTATAAATATACAATGTTAACGGGAACACGGGAAACTTGTAGCCAGCCCAGACATTTATGAAATTTTAAATAGATTTTCGCTGAAACCACGTCACTTGACAACAGCCTAATAGAAGGGATACGAAAGGGTTTTGAATATTGTTCCGATATTACTTTCTTTAAAAGTGTGTGGTTTTTGTATCGTGTCGTTTTAATTTAGGTGTTTTTTTTTTACATTTAATTCTATATAATTAGAGGCTTCGTTGGCCGAATGGTCGCAATTGCGACTGCCGGGCAAGGGGTCTCGGGTTCGATTTTCGGGCCGGGTCAAAGTATTACTGGGCTTTTTCAAGAAATCTCAGTAGTAGCTCGAAGCCTGGAATTGTACCCGGTATATGGCAATAGGCTCACCCCCTATTAAACTGTCAAACACCAAGCGGTCACCGGTGACCGCGACCTATTGTTCTTTAATTGTGTCTATAAAACCGGTACTCGACGAGTTAAATAGAACGCATAACATAAATAGTGAAAAGTGATAAAACTTTTTTTCTACAGTGTCAAGACAGAACAAGTGCCTGGCGGTGCTGACAGCCAGCTCCGGCTCGCTCGTGTGAACAGCAGCGATGCTGGAAACTACACGTGCGCGGTCCGAGGCGCTCGCTCCCACACCGTGTCTGTACATGTTCTTAATGGTACGTATCGTCGAACTAAGAATCTTTATGAGTTCGGTGAATGAATGAGAAGATGCAACTCCATTCTTATCAAGAGCTACTGTTCTGCATCTTTCAAAATAAATCTAAAATCTTTTCCATTGGTCTCTTGACGGCGTGGTTGCTATGGGAGGGGTACGCATCGTAATTAAGGTCATCTCACACCTAATAAGCACGGCTCCGGCACGGCTCCGGCACGGCTCCGGCACGGCTCCGGCACGGCTCCGGCATGGCCCAAGCAATTAATTTGTCATTTAAATATGAACTTTCGATCATATGTCGTATGACATATTTATTTATGTAACGTCAGTAGTGCCGACGGCGCGTTTACAACCATTTTATATTGTTTCTAAAGCAAAAAACGCCGTGCCAGAGTCGTGCCGGACCTGTGTCGTAGTTAAGTTAAGTTGCTGTGCTTGTTAAGTGTGTGATGGCCTACTCGTTGTGTTTTATTAAATGGAAATGACTTCCCTTTAGGTTTAGAAGTTATATTGTGATGGTAATGAGTATGCTCATTCGTAACTTTATCCATTTTCCAGTTTTCTAACTTTGCAGTTTTTCTCTTAAGTATTCTTACTACCTTTACACCACTGTTAGTGCCTTCATATTTAAGCCTAAGTAGTATTATGCTATTCGGTATACTAGATACATAAAAACCTTCTCAACAAAATACGAAAATTTGGTAAGCAAAATCAGAGATATCATTAGGTACACGTGCGGTTTTCATTATTGTTGGTCTCATAATGATTAAAACATGACACATGCATAGCGGTTAGCTCTCATACATTTATGTATGGTATTCAATTATTCGATGGTTTCCATGTTTTTCCTAAATCTAATGGATCGGGTTCAAAAAACAGTTGAATTAACTTAAGCCATGAATACACTAGGCAACAAATGTCCTGCGACACGTATCGCCAGCGACGTTGGGTGAAGTAGTGCGATGTTGCCGGACTTTGGTCGACATGTCTGGCAATATCAACATCACAGTGGACTTAAGTCGCGCGTTGTCGGTTAAAATCGACCAGCTTCGCTGGACTTGACATGTCGACCGACATTTGCCCTCTAATGTATCCTTGGCTTTATTGTTGGTATGCATTCGTAAGAGTGACTTTTGAACCGTCTACTGTCTGGCAGTCAAAAGGTATTATGTAACCTGAAATATCTCATTTAATTACCTTCGTGGTAGGTATTCTAGACTACCATATGTAAGGTTTCGAGTTTATTCCATTAGTATCAAGTGTTCAATAAGAATTATTGCATAAAAAAAATGAATACACTTTGAGAAAAGTGGGTAATTCATAAACTTTGCAGCAATTATAATTCAACCCATCCCAGGGGCAAAGAAATTAAATTCGAAAACGAATTTAAAAATATATCTAAAGTAATATTAACTTTAGTCAAACTAGCAGGTGCACATAAAACCAATATAAAGTTTCTTAGACCCTAAATCAAGAGCATAAGATTCAAGGTCGTTTGTAATTGTGCCCTATTCAGCGGAGTGCGCGATTCAGTGAAAAACTTTTTGGGTCCCTTGAGAATGGATAGGGAGTAACTTATGAGTGGGAGTAATGAAATTGTATATTTCTAAGACTAATCCTATTTAGAAGTTAAAATTTGTCGTAAGTAATTTATTCGTTGGAGTTCATTTCGCTACTCACGTAAAACTTATACTTACATTTATTTATTAAAATTTTCAATTGTGATTATTACCTTTGTGGCTTGGGGATAAATTGGTTTACGTTTCATTTTCTCTTAACTATTTTACTCTTGAGTAACTTGTGATCAACTTTGTTCTTAATCTTGACTTTGAGAGTCAAACACTTCTGCTTAATTGTCTTGTTCGTCACACTCATAAAATTAAACAAAAATAATAGACTCGATGGGCACCTAGTATATTTCAAAAGATCATTGAACTGCATCACAAAATTCTAAATATAAAAGTGCATGAACCTCTCCAATACAACAATAACGATCATCAATCAAATTCAATCACAAAATCATGCAAAACAACCTAAAAAATATCAATAGAAGCTATCAGGGATTCTAGGCAAAGAAAATCTTCCCCAAGTTTGGTCTGAACTTGCAAACGATATGATTATGCAAATACAACATCAAACTTCTTGAGTATCGGAGAAACTGATTTAACTAGTAAAAGACGACTTCAGAAAAAATAAAGGTATCATGTGATATAAATATGATGGAAAATAAAAATAGTATTATGTTATTACAGTATTAAAGACTTCATTGATTATGGAGTTGTAGAAAGAACCTGGTTTTAATATTATGACATCTAATTTCACAAACCCTTTTGACGCCTTGACATGTATTTAAAAATTTAATTTCACATTTTGACATTACGTAATAATTAATCAAATGAAATTGGACTTATATTCTTGGAATTATTTATAGTGCCTTATAAAAAAACATTTGCATGCCTGGAAAGGTGGAATACACTGTACTGTTGAAAATTAGACTAAGATCTATTTTATTGTATCACATGTTTCTGCGAATAAATTTCTATTTCTATTTCTATTTCTAGTATAAGTTTAAGATTGTTAATTCTATGGAAGGCTTGATTAAATTTAGTTGAAGTCTTGTTTTTAGGTTTATGACCTAATTTGAGTAAGAAAAGTACGCTCTTTACTGAGTTAGAGGTCAGTTGGTCAACAAAAACAATACTCATTTACTTTTTCAGTTAGATACGAATATTTTCAATTAGAACTAATTTTGTAACAAAGATTAAATTGTTTGTCAAACATAAAGAACTTTTACTTTAATACACGGTTACATGTACTGAAAAAAAAATAGAAATATTTATTTTATTGTAGGTAGGTAACTGAAGTTATGTACCAATACTGATAACAGTTACTCGACATAGTTTTTGCTCGTTCTTCTCAATTGGATTCTACAGATTGTAATGAGCTAATAGCTTCACTAGAGGACTGACCCATAGACTGACACTATTCTTTTTTTTTGTTTGTACTTTAAAAGTGTTGTCTTGATCTAACTGAAATAAATGAATGATGATTGACTTTGAATTTGAGTTAATATTTTCTCTTTTATCCCATAGATATACTAATATCCCAAACTAACTAATCTACATCTTGGAATGAGCAAATAAATAGTTTAACTTTTAATTTTTTTTGTTGACGTTCAAAAGTGTCATTCTGGCCTAATTGAAATAAATGATTTTGATTTTGACTTTTACTTTGATTAACACATAGCCCTTTGTTCCAGAAGAAAGTCTAGCAGAACTGCACGCCGGATCGAAATCGCTGCATCCACCAACAGTTACAACTGTTATTTTACTCCTCACAATACTATATCTAGCAGAAGAAACAGTGTTATTTATACCTGTGATCCTCTTCGCAACCCTAGTTCATATGATACAGGCCCAAGGCCAAACGAACGAACTTTATATATTGTTACCGACGTGATAAAAGACGTTTTTATTATGTAAATACACGTTTGATTATGAAAATAAATTATGAATAGTTATTGGGAAATAAAATTTCATTGTATAGTTTTGTTGTTTTATTTTTTCTCTATTATAACTTTCGTTAGATATACTAAATTAATTATTAGGATTTTGGCTTACTCACGTGATGGTTTGTCGAGGAATTTGACTAGTTTTAAGCCTGACCAAAGGCTTATATATGAGTACCATTCTGTGACACATGACACGGTGACTGTCGCGGTGCTACTGATATGTAAGGCTGGAGCCTCTTGTATGGCATGAAACTAGACGAGTTGGCCAAACAGTTATGTGAGTAAACAAAAAAAAATAGTCCATAGTTCATATTATTAAAGTAGTATACAGAAGTTGTCGTAGTGGCCCGGAGTGACTTCATCCGAGTTATATGTACTTTCTAAGATTATTCAGACATCACTGACAAACGGTGAAGGAAAATATCGTGAAGAAACTTGGGCTTATAATTTCTAATTATAAGTTTGAAATCGCCAACCCACATTGAGCAAGCGTGGTGATTAATGCTCAAACCTTGTGAGAAGAGTTGCTCAGCAGTGGGCATTATAGGCTGATGATGATAAGTATTATTATGTATTATACAGAAGACCACTATTTTGCCACCGTCGTGGTATAAAAAAAAGATAGTAGTGTTAATACTGACTCCTACGACATAATTTTAAATAGTACGTGATTTCAAATGGTAAGTATTCTATGAAATCGGGAACCAAGACTTTTGGTAATGCACACCACACTTCGATAGTTGGAGAATACGTCTGTTGGAAAGTAAGTATATAACTATTACACCTAAAGAGAACAACAGGTAAGACAATTGTATACTATTTAAATGAAGAAGCACTTTGTTTACAAATCAAGTCTGTAAGTATCTCCAAGTAGCATATGAACACTATCCTTACTAATATTAAAAATCGGAAAGTGAGTTTGTTTGTTTGTTTGTTCCGACTTCACGCCGTAACTACTAAACCGATTGCATTGAATTTTTGCAGACGTAAAGTTGGTAGTCTGGATTAAATAATAGGGTACTTTTTATCTCGAAAAAATGTGATATTCCCGAGGGAGAACAAAAATATTGGTATAGATGGCGCTGTATGTATTGGTATATGTCACATAGGCTTTTTATCCTTTTGTGACGCGAGCGAAGCCGCGGGTAAAAGCTAGTAATGAATAATGTCGACATATCGTCGTATAAGTAGGTATTAAAATTTATTCAAAGTACATCATGTTATGCAATTTGTTTGCTATGCGTTCTTTATCAATTCAGAGACGATTTTAAATAAGTTAATCTTTTCGTCTACATATAACCTCGTTGTTATATATATAATTTTCGTTACACATATTAAATTCCATTTATTTATTTAAAATTCCCTAAAATTGCATTATCTACTTAAAAAACATATAAAAATAGGAGCCGAACTATAGCGGGAGCATGGCCCAAGCTACCGGCGGTTAGAGCTCCAGACACAGAAACCTCCTCATGGTACGTGCCGTTAAAAAGATAATTATATATGTATTTTAAATTAATTATTATTTTTCGGCTTACTCACGTAACTATTTGAACAGGAACTCAACTAATTTTAACACATTAAACGCCATGGGGGTCACCGGTGACCGACGTTAGCGGTCTTGCCTTTAATAGTTTTCTAATGGCAGTCAAAACCTTAAGCCATACTAAAAGCTCATATTTATAGCATAATAATCAGATTAAGAATGTCGTGGTGGCCCGGAGGGTTAAGACGCCCACTTCTCATGCATAAGGGTGCGGGTTCGAAACCTACCAACGGCAAGTACCAATGCGACTTTTTCCGAGTTATGTAATGTACTTTCTAAGATTATTTAGACACCACTGACAAACGGTGAAGGAAAAACATCGTGAGGAAACCTGGACTTATAATTTCTAATTATAAGCTTGAAATCGCCAACCCGCATTGAGCAAGCGTGGTGATTAATGCTCTAACCTTCTCCGTGTGAGAAGAGGCTTTGCTCAGCAGTGGGCATTTATAGGCTGTTGATGATGATGAATCAGATTACCTCGGTGTTCAAAAATTTATATTAAAGATTAACAGCATATTCTAAAGTCAAAAGAACTTGTTTAACGACCTTCAGCTGATAACAAAGTTTTATAAAAAGACTACTGATTCCTGGGAGGTGTTTCCAAATTTTTACGACTTCAAAAATTTAGAATGGTTCCCGACCTGAATTTGGTATCTATAAAACCTTTTAAAACTTTCGCAATAAACTTGGAGTGTTGGCAGAAGTGCTTTGAAAATAAATTTTTTGAAACTCTATTCATGGGTAGTTTGTTCATTTATAAAGATAAATTAATTACAAACATTAATATTTTTGTTTGAAAGTGGTGTAGATATAGAAAACCATTAAGCAATTTGTTGCTTTTGACATGGATGTAAATAATTGTGTAGATATGATTTTATATTTTAATAATTTAGACGAGTCATGTAGTTTTGTGCTCGTTATACGCTGTTTTCATACTATAATGAGCAACTAGCGTCACAACTAGATAACTAACTGAAAATGCAGTTTTGTTTATTTTTGCTCTGAATTTTGGGATATTCCGTCTCATAATTCGGCACATGTTCTGATACTAAAATTCATAGTGAAATGTTATAATATTTAATCATACCTTCATTATAAAAATCAATATAACCCTTATTTTACCATCATAGAATTAAGAAATTGTCCCTGCATCTGATTGGCTTGCCTTAACAAAAAACAAAAGCGTCCAAATAATTCTTTAAAAGAATACCTTTGGCTTCTGAAAGTAAAAAAGAAAAGAAAAGATAACAAAAAAACCCGAAGAGGCATTTGTCTAGATTATATAAAAAATATTTACAAAATACCTTTTCAGAGATAGGCATAATTTTTACTAACTTCAAAGGATCGGCGCCGATATTTTTTTGCTTTTATATTGAATATATTTTTTGTGCGCAATCTTGGTTCATTCTTGAAGTTATTTGACCTTTGTTGATACAAAGATGCACAGTATAACAGACGCTTTTATAAGAATTAAACATTGTAATTGCGAAGGTAATTAAGAAGAAATCAACAAATTCTAAATTAATCACGGTTAACAAAACTTCATTTTAGTATCTACCTAAGACACCTAAGTATTTAGATCTTTTTCGATAAGGAATTTTATAGAACATAAGATTATTAAAAGACACAGATTTATACCCATAAATTTGCTTCTACTACCATGGAACTGATAGAGTTACTCCGAAAAATCGAAGTTGCTATGAGAACACTTCAAATTCTGTCTACTGTATATGAGTGTGACACGGGAAGTGTGTACGTCACAAAAGCCAAAAGTACCTATATAGGTAAGTATCGGTACAGCCTTTTCATACCTATATAAAGGCGTAGGTATACATAATTGTGAATGAGAGAATCCAGAAAATAGCTAGGGCTATCTAGGCTTAGAATTTTTACAGGCTCGTCATATTATATTATCATTTTAGAAATACATTCAAGTAAATGTTGTCCATAATTGAATTTCGTGCGTTATCTTATAAATACGGCTGCCATTCATATTCAGAGCGTAACGTCACATGGCTGTACACGTACGAAGAATTTTACGATTATCATGGATCAGTATATTTTTTTAGGATCTCCCTGTATTTGTTGGATAAAGACTAAAGTGTTTTAGAAGGGAGCGTGATGAATTTATAAGTATAAATGGTGTGGTTAGTACAATTTAGTTGGGACGATTTTGCGGTTTCCTTTTACACTTATAGTGCTATGAAGATTAAGCAACCTAAACCTTTTTGAATAAGTCAATCACGTGCAACCACGACTGCACGGGTGGTGCGGTGACTGGGCAACCGGTTGCCGTGCAACGTGTCGCGGGTTCGATTCCCGCACGGAACAACTCTTTGTGTGATCCACAAATTGTTGTTTCGGGTCTCAGCCATCGCGAAGGACACACCGGGCGTCGGGGATCGCGGGACGATCTCCGGAGTCGCGGAGAACCTAACGGGTAACCGGGGCTCCGGCTCGTCGTGCAGGAGAAGGAACGGGGTGGTTTTTAGTCAGTAAGAGTCTGACACTCCCTTCCGCCTCACCCAGGCGGGACCAGTCATTCGATGATTTTCCCCCATTAAAAAAAAAAATGTTGTTTCGGGTCTGGGTGCCATGTGCATGTGAACTTGTATGGGATTCTGTGTTAAATGTTATAATAAGATACCAGGCGATGTACAACAACTAAATGAATCGAAATTTAAATTATGTATAAAGAAAACTTTATGTAGACAAGCATATTACAAACTTAATGAATATATAAAGGATAAAAATGCTTGGATGCAGGCTAGTCCGGCTCCACAGGATAACTAAAAACACTTGTTTTAATGAAATCGTAAATAATACAGCTATATTGCTAAATTGTATATTGTTTAACTTAGATAACCATTGTAAATGTGAGAGCCCTGTAATTAACTTAATATTAAATTAGATTAGTAGATTTCATTTGTGTCAGCTTGGAGTTGTCATGCTCACTCAAAGGTCTCATTGGCGGTGGCGCGTGCAGTGGATCGCTCGATTCCCTACAATATGGTTGAGTTGGGCGGTGCTGGTGTACGTGTCATGTTCGTGAACGGGCGCCGTCAACTGGGACTGGTCAGCTCCAGACTGTATTACTGTCCTTAAGGTTATTTTCTTTTTTGATCACTTTGACTGGATTTTAGTGTTACATTGTTCTCGCACAATCCAAACAGCAAAACTATGTAACTAGTAAATTGTATTGTGAACCTGATTGAAAAAGAGTAACCTATGGAGTTTCTTGCTCGTTCTTCTCCATAGGAATCTACGCCTTGGAATGAGCAAATAGCTTCACTTTAAATTTTTGTTTTTGTTGACGTTCAAAAGTGCCATTCTGGCCTAATTGAAATAAATGATTTTGACTTTGACTTTATGTTTGTAAACGCACCCACGACACAGGAG